CAATAATGAAAAAGCAAGAAAAAATCATGTTGGCATGCGGTTGGTTGTTGAATTTTCGTAGGCAACATTTTTGCCAGAGATTTTTATTGACTGAAGAGGCCGCAGCAACAGCAGCAACCGACTTTTTGAAGAGGCGCCTGCGTGCATGAAATATGGTGCTACACTCAGAAAAAATCCACCCTTCAAAGTTAAATTTTTGAATTGCAAGAAAATACTAACAGTTTTAATAAAATATTTCCTAGTGCCCCAAATTTGGATTTTGTTTGAACAACTCATTTTTAATAGTTTTATAGCTTAAATAAGCGTTAAAGTTCAAGTTTATATTTCTTATTTTATAAGTAGACTAAACAAAAAAATAAATAAATAACCAGCATAAATAAGCAATTTGTCTAAATATAAAAATTTTCCAAATTATTAAAATTTTAAAAAGCGAGTAAGAGTACGATTTTATTCATCATTAAAATCAAATCATATGAACATTGGAATTTGCACATACAATTTCCCTGTTTGATCGTTAATTTTTTGAAGTGTACAGCAGCAACATGTGTGCTGTTGTTGCATGTTTGTTGGCTCGCCATGACATGTTAGAGGAGCAGGAAGTCGTTTTGCGTTTGCCTTGTGTTGGTCACATTTATGAGTGGCTAGAGTTGCTCATAGCTAGAGTTGCTGGTGTGTTGCAAGCGAGTTGCAGGCATGCAATGTGCCACTTGTTGCTGCCAGTTGCCAGGCCCAAGGATAATACAAACTTTGCTGAAAACTCACAGCCAGTTGCAATAGAATCGATCCCTATAGAGCATTAACTATGTTGCCAGTCTACACTGGCAACTAATGTCATTAGTACTAGATACAACACGCAATGGGGAATTAAGAAATTAAGTGGCAACAGTTAGCAACTCTGCGGCATGTTGGCTGATATTGCTGCTGCCCTGAGGGCAACACGCCAGTTTAATTGCAAATGGATCAGAGAGCCATACAAATTGTTTTGCCATGAGAAATTGCTGTGAACTGGTTGCAGAAGAGGAGCAGCAACATGTTGCTGGTGGGTGATGTCTTGGGCCCAGTTCCACCTTCCCAATTACAGGCGATATGTATTGCCAATTGACAATCGGGGTTGATCGGAGCCGAGAGCGAGTGATTTATGCACCGGACCATTTAAAGTCCGCGGCGGTTCCATAAACAAATTGTCGCCGTGCTCTCTAAATGGCCATGGCTCTCTGCTGCTGCCATGAAATTGAGCTGTAATTGAATTGCAGTTACACTCAGGATATTGGGCTCGCTCTGGCCGCTTTACTATGGGTAAAAACCTATTTTTTTTACACAAATTATTAATTTTTTGTGTTTCTGGGTTGCAAAAAAGTATACACTAAAGGTTACAATCTTAACTATGGCTAAAAGACCGAAATTTGTTGACATAAATTAATCATTATTTTGAAGAAAAATACACAATCCCCGAAATAACATTTTGATATATGTTTTTCCAAATTAACATTGGTTTTCCAATGTAATGTTAGTAAGGTATCTTTTAATTGTTTGCTAATAAATAAATTTTATTTTTTCGTGTTCCAATTGATGAAACTTTTTCTCAAATGCCGTTTTGCCAATAAATCGAAACAAACCAGTTAGGGCGCTATTAATTAATAACGAGGTAAAATTTAAAGCTTTTATCTACGATTTTTGCCATAGTGCACCGGTTCGGTTTTTGGTCATCTTGCAATTTATTGCACGGCATTTCACAATTAAAACACTGGCAAGCGAGCCACGTCTTTAGTTTGGTAGCACACATATATGGCCACAGAGTATGTTTGTTACGAATTCAAACATTTTTACATTTGTTTTGGGCCGCTGATAATTTGCTGGCGTACTGACTGGCTGTTAGAGTAACAATGTTGAGTCGGCCCAAAAACACACACAACACCGGGCCATTTGCCCAATCATTCCAGTCGTTGGCAACCAATGTATGTAACATATATTTCAAGGGAGCACACTTTTCCGCTGGGCCAGAGCAGTTGAGCAGTTGAGCAGTTGATCTATAATTACCGAACTTGGAGCCCGAATCCGAAGACCGAGCCCAAGTATAAATATCATTGTCAAATGCGCTTTTAATTGATGTAGACAGGCGGCGAACACATTGGACAGCCGAGCTGGACACTCCAGTTGGCCAGGCCTGGCCCGGGCGATCTGACAAGCTCACATTAGCAATAAAATATCTAATTGGAGTTTTCCCCCCATCGCACCCCGTCGATTACCTGGCAAAATGAAAATTTCATTTACAACCTGGCCGGGGTAATCGAGACTTTTGTTTCGCTGAGGTTTCTGCTCGTTTTTTGCTTTTTGTTTGCTGTGTGCTGTTTGCCTTTTGCCGCTTGTGTGTGGCTTGTACCGCTCTATAAGGCGTGATTTATGCCTTCCACTGGAAATTTATTTCGTTTTTAATGAGTAATTTACACAAAATTGCATTAATTTGGCGGCCAAAGCCCAGACGCGCGACAAGTCATGGCAAATTTCTGACGTTTCCTTGATTTATGTGGCCAAAAAAAAAGCGGCATTGCAAGCCAACTAAGATTTTTCCGTAATTGTAATTGTTCAATTTGAATTGGCTTCATTCTTTTGGCTGCCCAGCCCCAAGAAAGTGTTGCCAATTAACGCAAACATAGCGGTCAGTTGGAAAACTCGGCGTGTTGCAACGATTTCCATATGCGAAAGCAGTGCAAATAGTCGCAATAGTCAGGGAGATGATTTAGTGGCCCGCCATCTACGGCACTCGCCTGTGCACTTATACGAGTGTATCTGCGGGATACACATTTTAATTAATATGTACAAGCATCACCTAATGAAGCCGCTGGTCCAGACAGGCGGCCAAGACGTGACCAACGCGGCTGCCAGGTATTTTTGGTATTTTTACAACACCCCAGCTTCCATGAGAGGTACACCGAAAAATCAAAGGATGTCGAATGGCGATCCAAATGGATCCAAAATGGATTTTGGATCGTGAAATAACTGGCACTTCATTTTTGAAAACATTGAGTGAAATCGAAACACCTTTCTTTCAGTATTTCTTAGGTATTACATAGTATAATAAATTATTGTTTTCTTTTACTGTCTTATCTCAAGAATCGAAGTCTTTAAATGTCCAGAATTTAAAGCAAACTTCATCAGCTTGTACATTATTTTAAGTCTACAGAAAAATTTCCTATCTCTAGATCTTAAATTTCAGCTTATTTCCGAATTTCATAAATAATTTATTGCCAACTATAATGTTTTTCTTTTTTTATATTCATAAGATCAAATGTTAGTAAAGATCTCACATATTTTTCAGTGTTAGTTTAGGCTTTAATTTTTGAAGTGTATAGAGTGACAGAGGAAAAGATAGAAGGCATTTCCATAGCGACTGCGAAATGGTGGAAAATGGTGCGAATGCGAATGCCACTGCAAGGTGGCTTACATTATATGGCCAAAACACCTAAGGCCATGATTTATAGTTTCTGGTAAATTAAGAAATTAAAATGCTTTTTTGGTCAACTGGCCAATCCGCCGCTTCTGTTTGCGGCTCTATTTCCCCCCTCCCTCAATAGCCCCGCTGTCACTCTGTCGAGTTAATTGCCAAAATGTTTGATAAGATTATTTTGTGCATAAGCCGCCCACGCCGAAACAACCTGCACCCCCAATCCTGAAAAGATTTTCTTAATTAAAATTTCGGTTGCATGCCAGGCACAAAATTGTGTTGCTTAAAAAGCAGCAAATTGTTGCCAGATATTAATGTGGCTTTGTAATTGGTTTTTCTCAAGTCCAAGTCACGTTAAGTCAATTAAGAGAGATGAATTTTCGTATATGAACGGAATGGATGGATGGATTGCGATGGTGGAGTAGCAATGCCAGTTGCATAACACCATGTTATGCAGTTGTATATTGAGTGAGAAAACTTCTACATAAAAATAGTAATTAAAATATATATATATATTATTATATATTGCTATTAAAACGTAAAAAATGCTCTCAAAGAATATTATTAAATTTAAAACAAATGCATGTCTTAAAGGCTTGAAGCATTATAAATTTGATTTAACCAATATTTTGAGGAAAACTTTTGGAAATGTTTAAGATTGTTCACCGTTCCAAAGTTTTCGCAATGAGCCCCCATATTTTTTGGTTTAGAAATATAGTAATACAGACTCCGAAGATGATCTGAAACCTTGGACCACATTACCATTTAAGCTCCATTAGCAGCGCCAAATATTTGAACACATTGAGTTTAATTGGTTCCCGAGCTGGCAACAAAGTTGAAACGAAGACGCAACTCGGCGACATGGTAACTCGGTGGTAGCTTGGTAACATGGAAACATGGCAAACGGCACTGGACTTGGGACTTGGACTCATGTTGCGCCATCCACTTGTTGCCGTCGAGGCAATTGCCCGACCAAATTTGGTCCGCTCCGCGTTCTCCCCGCTCGAGAACAAGCTCGTTAAACGTTTTTCTATTGCAATTGCGCCATAAATTCTACCAAAAATGTTACTAATGAAGTGTTATGAAAGGTGCTCATAAATCGTTGACTTCGATTGCCCGCCGGCATGGAGAAGGGGATCAGGAGATCAGGCAGATCGGCTCAGAACAGAGATGAATTGAGAAATGAAAGCTCGATGAGAAGCTTATCATGTGCACGTACATACATATATGGGAGATTTACTGACGATGTCACAATATCAAGTTCAACGTATTATTTGATAGCCTTTGAGTAGGTCTCCTTAAAAAGTTTATACTGCTGGCATTAGTCCATAAACAATTTATGAAAGGATTAAACTAAATAAGTTTTATAAACGCTTTTAACTTTTTTATTTATAATAAGCCTAATACTTTTTTAAGAAGACTAATCCTTTGAAAGTTATATTGCCTGGGTCATCTTTACTTAAAATCAAATTTTTCTCATTAAATTATTTACTTATAAATTTTATTAGTTTGTTGTTATTTTTCTTTAATAAGCAATGGGTTTGATTGAAATATTCACCTGTTTTATTTGACTTAACATTCATTCCAGAGTATCCGTCGGTCGGCTTTTTAGCTTCATACTTTTCGTTATCATCATTGGCTTCTGTGTTTTTGTCATCCTCCCCTGTAAGACAAAGGAAAATGGAAAAAATTTAAATAGATTTCGACTGTGCGCGACTAAAGATGTTACGACGATGGATTCCCAAGCCGCTCCTGCTGATTCTCGTCCTCGCTGTTTTGGCCAAACTCCAGGAGTCCAAGGCAGCTAGTTTCTGCACCAAGGCGGATCAGTGCGCCCTGGATGAGGAGTTGAGGCCAGCTGCAGTTCCAGCGTCTGTCCAAGCCCGCTACGATCACACTCGCATCTACCAAGTGGAACTGGCCAGTGAGGAGCACGTCCGGATCTTTCAGGCCCTGGAATTGGCCAGCGACTCGTGCTCTTTTATGGGTCATGCCCGAGCGGTGGGTCAAAAACTTACCATTATGGTTACGGCTGCCAAGGTGGCCGACTTCGATGACCTGGTGCACAGCTACAACGTGACCCACCGGGTGTTGAACCACAATTTCCAGTCCTTGATCGATGCCAACTATCGCGAGGTGGCTCCTGCGGGAACAACACCCGACCAATTCGACTGGCAGCGTTATCATCCGCTGGAGGGCATCTACGCTTGGCTGGAGAGTCTGGCCAAGAAGAGGCCCGATGTGGTTGAAATGGTGGATCTGGGTGCCAGCACCCAGGGATTGCCCATCAAGGGTGTGAGGATCGCATTTGGAAAGGAGAATCTGACCAGTGTCTTTGTGGAGAGTGGCATCCATGCTCGCGAATGGATTGCTCCGGCCACTGCAACGTATTTCATCGACCAGCTGCTGAACTCCGAAGATCCGGCAGTTCAAGCTCTGGCCCGCTCTCAAAACTGGTTGATTTTTCCCACCGTAAACCCCGATGGATATCGCTACACCTTCCAGGGCGACCGCATGTGGCGCAAGAACCGGGCTCTCTTCGGCATCTGCCGTGGTGTGGATCTCAACCGGAACTTCCCCTTTCACTGGAACGTGACGGGCGCCAGTGGAGATCCCTGTCGCTACGACTACTCGGGACCCTCGACTGGCAGCGAGCTGGAAACCCAAAGGATGGTGCGGTTCCTCGAGCAGCACGTTCAAACCGATCGCATACGTACCTTTATTGCGCTGCACAGCTACTCGCAGATGATCATGTTTCCCTATGGACACAGCGCCGAACGCGTGGACAACTACCAGGATCTGAAGGAAATAGGCCAACTGGCTGTCCAGAGGATCAGGGACTTGAGCGGTCGAGTTTACAAGAGCGGCAGCATTTACGAGACCATCTATCCGTCGGCCGGTGGGTCAAAGGATTGGGCCCATGGTCACCTGAAGATACCCATTACCTTCTCGTATGAGCTGCGTGGACCGGCGGACAGCGAGGACCTGTTCATCTTGTCCGCCAAGGAGATCGAGCCCACGGCCAAGGAAGCCTTCGCCTCTCTCCAAACGATCGTGCAGGAGGCCGGTAAACGTGGCTATTACACCCCAGCTCCCTAGCTCCAGCTTCAATTGCCATCCGCAACTCCAACATCCACATCCACGCGGAGTCACCATCTGATGGGGACTACGATGATGATGATAAATGTCGTCTGGCCTGGCAGTTCACATGAAAAACACATTACGCGCCATCGTTTCTTAATGCTAAATAATGATGGCAAAATCATGACACAAAACCTCATAATAATGTTGGTAAATCAAAGCAAATATAGTCAGGCTCGAACAACCTTACAAAAATAGTTGCAACTATTACAGTTACGATGCATTGTTATTGTCAGCATGTTGGAGGAATGGGGTCCATCGATTTTGTGATTTTATTAGCCATTCCAAAAAGTATTGAGGGGTAATTAATATTTTTTATGTTTCTTATATTCATATGTTTAGTATAGTTAAGTTTTATTACCAAACTTAAATTTGACCTAAATAAAAGGTCTGTTTTCCAGTCTGTTATTTTTTTTATATATTTCTTTTGCAAGAATGCATTTTTAAAGTGATGACATTTTCATTTAAAGATATTAAAAAAAAAATGGGTAAGAAAATTCATGATGTTCGGAATGCCGCGAATTCTTTAGCAATAATTTAACCAATATTTATTTAAAATTTAACTGGACAAAACTTTAAAAGGTACCTTCTTGAGGTGTAAGTACTAATTTAAAACTTCCATTTCTACAAACATACATAAGTAAGAATAGGATTCTTGAGTAATATTACTAGGATGGATAATGAGTGTATAAAAACAGTGTCCTACCTGATTTAGCTGGCTATGTCAGAACTCAGGCTGGCAGCTGACAGGCGAGTTATGAACCTGCGCAGCCTCCACAGACATTATGCATGTTGCACTCTGGCGCACAACAGCAACATGGACTAGCAACACCAGTAATGCTGCCGACATTGCAGACTTGTTGACGGCAATTGTCGAGTTTTTGTTTTGGTTTCGCTTTGTTGTTCAGGCCATTATAATATATAGTTAGTAGGAGAGCTATGGCAGCCACACATGCCAGACACTGGCCGGTTAATAATGTTGCTGCTGAGGGGATGCCTGTTGCTGCTGCTGCTGTCGCTGCTGCTGATGTTGATGTTGCTGGCGATATTGATGTTGCCATAATCACGATCTAATTTATTTACAAATTGTGTTGAAATCATACGTTCAAAGTCGTGTTTAAAAGGTTCTTTATGATTTATGCCAGCGTTGAAATGAACCGCAACAACGCGCCATCTCGCAATAACAACAATGGCCAGAACAATTGCGACTAGGAAAAATTTCTCACAGTCGCAGCAGATGGCCTGGAAATTTGTTTCGTCTGCTTTTATGTGCACCTAATTGATTGGGGCAAGTGGAGGAGCCTGCCGCATTGCCGACCAGGAACCGCGCCGAAGCTCTCCTACGAGCCGGCTAATTTAGATTTATGGCGCAAATCGCAACTTGATGCGTGATGCCGCCGAGACAAGCCGCCAGTTCCTCCTCCTAAAATTGCTCCACCTCCATTTGCTGCGCGAGGAGGAGTGTTGCATGTGGCCATTTGTCATCGGGATCGAGGCTCGAGGATCGTGTGCTGCAGCTGCGATTTCAGACCGCTCCAAACGGGCACGAACTCTCTGCTCTGTGCAAAAGAAAAAAGCAAATCTTTCTCCCGCGCGCTGTTATAATCTCGCAAATGTTGATAAATTGAACGATTGTTGATTTTCACGCAGCAATTGCCCGAGGCCGTGTCACTGTGCCAGCTGGGGAATAAACATATCAACATGATAAATAAGAGGACCGGGTTATCAGCGGTCCCACAAAATCGCAGACACACACCGGACACTCATGTTGCCCGAAGGACAGCCTCATAAATCAGCAGGCAACTGGACAAAATGTGAGCCGTTTTAATCGCTGATTTCCGCTTCACAAGAAATGGAATTAAAAGGCGGCGAGGCAAAGTGAAACATGCAAGGAAGTTAAATTCGGCAAGCCGATCTCTACAGACCCTTGCAGTTTTATCAAAAATTACATTCAGCCAGGTTGCTCCTAAAATATATAAGGTATATACCAAATTGTATGTATGTATGTATGCATAAGTTACCCACGTTTTCCTATAAAAGCTTAAAGATTTTGTTACATTTCAAATAATACTCCTATATTAACATTAAAGCTTGCCAAATTGGTAAATCATTTCTATGGGCGCTATACAGAATATAGCCGATCAATCTCCTTATAATTTAAAACGGATTTCTACATTTGTAGTAACCGAACATGCCTCAATTTATACAGCATGCATTTATTTTACAAAATATTTTACATACCCCAATTTGGCAAGTATTAATGGAGCTATACTTTGATTTGTATTATATGGAACATATAAAAAAAAAGTATTAGTTCAAAATAACCTTTAAAAAAGCAATTGTTAACAAAAACATGCTTAAGTAACCCGCAATTTCCTCCTAAAGCTTAAGGATTTAGTCAGATTTTGATGATTTTCAAAACGTAGTCCTGATTTCTCATTCAATTTGCAAGTTTTGAAAATCATTTCTATAAGTGCTATACAATAAAATTCCTAAATTTGTATAAAACGAATAATTTTCAATTTACAACATGTATATTAATATTGAAACATGGCAAATTTCGCAAAAAAAAATTTTATATATAGCTATATTTATCTTGCCAAAAATAGTAATAGCACAAAATTATCTTAAAAGAACGATACACAGAAATCAATTATAAAAGTTTCAATCAATAAGTCAAACTAATGCCTGAAAATTATGGAAATTAGGGGCTTCACTGCTGAAAATGTGTTTCGCACATTGGACATCGGACACTAGACAGTGGCAACTTTTGGGTCAACCCTCGCACTCTGCACTGCACTGCACAAATGAGATTCGCACTCGGTGCTTCTCCAGGTTATTACTTAGTGGTTGTGTTTATTGAATTATGGGTTTTTGTTTTGTTTCTGACGTTTTGTTGTATTTAAGGGCAACTCCTTCAGCTAGTCGCTCATTGGATGAACAGTAAAACTAGGTTTACAAAACTTTCGCCTCGGACAGGTCGTCCAGTGGCTTGCTGGGCGGCGGGATCTTGTACTCGGTCTCGGGCGTCTCGTAGATCTTCTCCTCCTTGGGCTCCACGACGGACACGTTGTCGGGCAGCGGCTTCTTGGGCCCAATCTTGTTCTTGGGGTCGTAGGGCAGCATGATCTTGACCTTGATGCCGAGCACTCCCTGGCGCAGGAGCACGTGACGGGTGGCGGTCTCCACGTAGTCGTTGCACGGATCTCCCGAGTGGATCATCAGGCCATCGACGAACTTCATGGACTTGGCACGCTGACCACGCAGCTTGCCGGACACGACGACCTCGCAGCCCTTGGCGCCCGACTCCATGATGAATCGGAGCACGCCGTAGCAAGCACGGCGGACGGCCAGTCCTCCGGTGAGCTTGTACCTCAGCGACTCGGCCTGGGCAATGGCGCACAGGCCGCGAGTGGCCACCTTCTCGGCGTACAGCTCGATGCGGCCGGTCTCGAAGTTGAAGCGCTTCTGGACCATGGCGGTCAGCTCCCGGATGCGACGGCCCTTCTCGCCGAGCACCTGCTGGGTCTTGGTGGCCATGATGATGATCTCAGTGCGGGATGGGGTCACACGCACCTCCACGCCGGAGTAGCCATCCTCGGCCAGTTCGCGAGTCAAGAACTCGTTGAGCTCGGCCTTGAAGATGCCATCGGAGACGAACTGTGGGACAGAACAAGGACAAATGTTACCACGGATTCCAAAACCATATATCGCCTCGTTCTTGTTATTGTTTCAAAACGCGTTGCTGGCTGCCAAAATGATTGGGACGCCCATCCGCTTTGAGGTTATCACCGAACTTTTAGGGTTTTAGCACTTTCTGGCCCCTTTTTCACAAAACCCTGGCAAAACAACGAACGGGCTGCATCAGGACTGTGTCCCGGGGGTATTCCTGGGCCATTTTCACCCATTTACCTTGCGTTTCTTGGAAATCGGCAGGGTCGCGTTCATTTTGACGTCGAATCGGAAACGTGGTCGCAGAAAAGAGAAAGAGAGAGAGAAATTAGAGATGGCGAAGCGTCGATGACAGTGCCGAAACCGATGCCGATATCATCGATATTTGGCAGGGCAATCGATGTTTGTCCATATCTAACGATATTCTTTGTCACTGCTAACTTCCCATTGTTGGTTCGACGTTTCGCTAACATTTCGCTGTTAGTTGGACGTTTCGCTAACTTTTTCTGTTAGCTCGCCGTTTCGCTAACATTTCACTACAAAATAGTAACCCACCACATGCACGCAAATTTACCGCTAGAGGTGGGTAAATACCGATGCCAACATCGATGTCATCGATGTTTTCAAAATATAGGTCATAACGGTGTTTCCGTCTCTAACGATATTTTCTTGACACTGTTATCTTCTCACTCCCATTTTTGCACACCCTCTGTTAAACATGTAAAAACATTCGTTGGTACTGTATGAAACCAACAGGTGGCGCCAGATTATCAAAAAGTTAGAAGTTTAACAAAGAGTGAGAAAAGTTATCGAAAGGGGAAATTTCCCAATAGAGCGATTTAGTACGGAAAGAGCGCCGTTATATCGACAATATAAAAAACAATCGTTAAAGCGTCGAAATAGAACGGTGCCAGCAGCCTAACCCCTTCTCATGCAATCTTCAAATAACATTTTTTCATTACGGGCTTTAATAAATCCATCAGTTAATTGAATCTTCAATGCAATTAATACTTTATGAAGTCGAAAATGGGGCGTTGCAAACTTTTCACCGATATTTAAATACCCTGTGCAAGGGTATTTAAATGGACAAAAAACCAGCGATATGGTCTCTGTTAAGAGGACGGTGTATTAGCTAAAATTGGGTGATGTCTTCGTTACCTGTGGAGTAAGTCTCCGCTAGATGTGTATATGCTAAAAGGTGGATATCTTCGGTATGTCTCCGCTAAGAAGAGCACATTCCAATTATGGCGGCAAGCCCCTTAACAGCCACGTAGATGGCGCCAGAAAACTGGGTTCAGTTTTCTCTACCAGCTACCAGTGCTACAAATTACATTCCAGAATATTAGCGCTTATTTGTTGTTTTTTTTATTGATGGTAAAATAATTTTTAATTTAGTATTTCCAACTAGATTTTTCGGGTATTTAAATTTAGCTGGTTAGCCTGCCCCAACACACACAATTTATGACTTTGCCTTGTTCAGGACGGCAGTGGCCGCCACCAGAGCTGCGCCCCTTCCGGATCCGTCCTCGGAAACGACCAACTCGAACTTGACGCCCGGCTTGAGCAACTTCTTCATGTGGAACTGCAGCATTTCGTGGTACTTGGGATGGAAGCGGTACACACTGCCGTCGATGCCGATGGCCACCTCGTTGATGTTCATCTTGTTGATGATCGTGACCAGGCCGCAGGCGCATAGCTTGGCGGATCTGGAGGACACGGCCTGGCAGATGAGTTTCAGGGCCTCCTTGTCCGACTCCTGGCTGCCGATGATGCCCAGGTCGTTGAGTACCTTGTTGCAGGCCCGATATTCTCCGGGCGGATCGCTCTCAATGTCGGATATATAGGAGGAAGGGAAGCTCCAGGCCTTCTGGATTCTCTGCGACTTGTCGCCGTGGAACATCACATCCTTGTTAATCATTTCGATGACAACGAGGCGCACCAGCTCTCCCATGTACATGCCCGAGATGCACTTCTCGAAGGTCTGCTTGCCGGGATTGGGCGTGACCTTGTCGATTATCTTGTCGTAGGGTGTGCGCACGAACTCCAGCACACCATTGTCCCCGAAGGCGCCCCACTCGCAGTTGATAATCATGGACGGCTTCGGGCTGGTCTGGTATCCCTCGAAACACTCGGCGTTGACGGTCTTCTCCACATAGCAGGCATTGGAGCCGGTTCCCACGATAAGTCCTATGCGGCAGTTGGGATGGTGGTAGGCGCAGGACATCAAAGTGCCCACGGTGTCGTTGAGTATGGCCACAGTGTTGATCTTCACATCTCCCCTCCGCTCGATGGCCTCTTGGAGAAGGGTTACCTTGGGAATAAGAAGAAAACTCTGTTATCGAAATTTTACATATCGATATTTCAATCGCTTGTTTTCTTATCGAAGCGATATTTATAAATCAATCATTTCTAAGTACCCTAGACTCACCACGTTCTTGCCCACCACGCCCTCGCAGTTGAATCCCTTGGTCCAGGCGACCAGGACGCCCGTGGCAATACCCTTTTGCTGGCAGGGAAACGAGAAGGTGAAGCCCAGTGGCAGGGTCTCGTTCTCCACGCCATTTTCCTTGCAGAACTCCGCCAGGCATTCGGCCAGGAAGTCGAACAGTGCTTTGCCCGTACCCGTCATCAGGGACTTGGGGAAATCATAGCTCTTCGATATGGTGTTCCCAGCCGAGTCGCTTGCCAGGGTCACCATGAGCACCCGGAAATTAGAGCCACCGAGGTCTAAGGCCAAATACCTTCCCTGCTCCTTGCCCGTGGGAAGATCCTGTACGTAGGTCACAAAACACTTGATCACCGCACGCGGATGCGTGTCTTTGGCCAGGCCCATCTTCAGCTCCTTGGTCATGCGCTCGACCACCTCGGCCATCTTCTCCTGGTCGAGAATGAAGCCCTTGATGGCCAGCTCCACTTCCGGGCTAACAAGACTCGGCATTATCCACCCAGAATTTCCAAAAAAAAAATAAAACTAAATTTTGACTTAATTGCAAAACGGAGAAAATGTTTTTGCCTACTAGTTCTGAGGGATATTACAAAGCTACCTGTTTAAGCATTTAGTAACCTAGCCAGATTTGAAATCTGATAAAAATAACTAAATCATAAGTATTATGTTTTGAGACGATAATTTTGTTGGAATCTTTCTGCCACTAGTGCAATAAATAGTACTTGTAGAACAACAAAGTTAAATTGAAATTTCACTGATATTGTAATTATTCCTTAATAAATACTTTACAATATATATTTATTTGTGTTGGCCTAAATGCTCATAAAAAACTACAAACTAGTAATATTGTTGACTAAATCGGCTGTTCGGACAAACAACTCAGCATAGAAGTTCGGGTCAATCAGTTGGGCTGCCTAATTGAGATTATTATAAATAAATATTTATTTATATTAATGTTTTTCTTCCTTTTTTTTAACTTTGGTAATCAAACTTATTTAACTAGAAATGGAATAATTTTCATTACCATAGGGATCGGACTGCCAAAATAGATAACAATTTAAAAAGTTGCTTAAATTAAGAGATGCGCCACCAATAATTGCACTATTACGCTTTTATTGCCTTCAAAACCAATTTACTTCGACATCAGAGCTAGTAGTCCATAGTGAACATCTTGGAGTCGGTGTTGTATTTGTTGGCATGTGCCATGCCCGCCATGATGGCCGCCCCCACGCCACAGCTGTCCTGGGTGATCACGAACTCGTACTTGAAGCGCGGATCGGTTAGCAGGTTGGTGTACTTATTGAGGACCGTGGCGAAGGTCGGGTGGAGGCGGTAGATGCCGCCGTCCACGGCGATCGAGATCTGTGGCAGGTGCATGTGGTTGATGAGGCAGGCCACCCCACTGGCCACCAGCATGGCAGCGCGGTTCGTAACCGTATCGCAGATGTACCGCAGGGCAGCCAGATCCCGCTCCTTGCAGTGACGGATCCGGAACTTGTCCATCACCTCCTGCGCCTTCGTGTAGTCACCCGGCGGATCCGAGGCGATTTCGATCAACGAAACCATGTCCAACTTCCACTGGATGCCTATATAGTCGCGTCTGGCTTCCGCAAAGATGGCACCCATTCCCATCAGTCGCATTACTATGATGCGAACCAGTTCGCCCATGCAGAGTGCCCCGCTGAACTTCTCGTAGGTCCGAACACCCGGAGTTAGGGACTCGTTGTCCAGCTGGCGATCGAACTCGTTGCGCACAAAGTCCAGTGCCCCGTTGTCGCCGAAATGGGCCCAGTCCGAGTTGATGATCATCAGCTTTCGGCCCTCCTCGCCCTCGTACAGCTGGCACCTCTCGACCTGCTCCACATAGCAGGAGTTGGCAATGCTGCCCATGATCAGGCCCATTCGGGTGTCCGGCTGGGCCCAGCACAGGGCCAAAAGGGAACCGGCTCCCACATTGATGATGCCCATCACCTCGACGGATATTTCGGGGAACTTGGCCAGAGCGTCGCGCAGCAATTGGACCACGTCCTTGCCGATGGCGCCCTGGGCCCCAAACTCCTTGGTCCACGACACCAAGATGCCCACATCCAACGCCAGTTTGTTGAGGCTGAACGCAAAGGCAATGCCCAGCGGCAGATTGTCCTTCTCCACCTTCTTCTCCTTCACGAAATTGGCAATGGTGGTGGCCAGGAAGTGGAACACCTCGGTGCCCCGTCCCGCAGCCACAGTGTGCGGCATTATCACGCACTTGGAACTGGTGTAGATGTCCTTCTCGCTGCTGAACTTCACCAGCATGATCCGGCAGTTGGTGGGCATCATCTCGAGGGCCAGGAACTGACCGCGCTCCCTGCCCGTCGGCAAATCCTGGACGTAGCTCAGGTGACACGGCACTGTGGAGCGATCGTGGTGGTCGCGACTCAAGCCCATCACAATCTCCTTGTCCAACAAGTCCCTGATCTTCCCCAGATCCACGTCGCTCGGCTTGAACAGCTTGCAGATCTTGTACACCTCCGGAAAGTCCTCCTCCGGATTGAATGTGTTTCCGTTTGCCATGGCAATTCTGGATTATATAGCTCTAGTATCAGGTATTACTATTAAATTATTGTGGTTAACTATTCTACAATTGCTTATAAAAGTCTACTTTTGTGTTGAATTCTGACTTATAAATCATTTAGGCTCGTCATTAGATTAAAATGTACTAAACATATCACATTATCCTCAAAATAGTTTAAATGATAGTGACAATATTAAGATAATTTTGATATGTGTATTTTGTCTCTATTTAATACAAAATGTTCACCATAAAAATGTATCCATGGGAATAAAGGGTCTAAAAATCTTATTTCATTAAAGTATTTATATATATTGTATATATTTTACAAATATATAATTTTTAATATAAATATATAACTTTGAACACTTACATTATCTTCAATATAGTTTAAGCTTTTTTTAAATCTCTTGATGATTTTTAACAACTGAACTACAATATTAAAATAAATTTGATATGTGTTTATTGTCACAAACTTTTAAAAATATTCACGATAAATATAATAAATGCTTTGATTGCCGCTTAAGAGATAAATTAAAGTCTGGTGCTATTAGATTCTATACTTCGGAAAATGAACGTAAAGCTAATTCTGGGACTTAAAATAAAAAGCGGGTAATGGCACCTCCCTTCTACCATAAAATAATATATTTACGAGTCTTGAAACAACACTGGGTGCTTTATTTACACGATAACGAGAAATGCGTCACAAAGAAATGCTTAGATCACTAGTTGAGTTGTGTTGTGTTGAGTTGAATTGAGTTATCATGTGGATGTGGCGGTGAGCAGTTTTCCTTCTCGCAGGATGTGGATATATCCTAAGGTTGCTGGCTATGACACAATGAATTCCGCCACAGGGGCGCATCGCATTAATGGCTAAGTGTGAAAGTCTGGCTATGACTCGCACGCTAACTTAAAACGAGGGTTAGACTTAAGCGGAGTAGTGGTCACGTCACGTAAGAAACATGTCGGGGAAATCGGGGCTCAGCAGGTCAAAGGCATAGCCATCCAGGCCGGAAAACGAACTGATTAGGACCGAGGGCTGCTGATAGCTGTCGAAGTCGAAGGAGTCCGTGGATCGCTGATCCAGCAGTCGCAGACTGAGCTCCACGTCCGGTTTTTCCAGCCCGGACATGGGTAGGTCGCCACGACAGCCGGGCAACAGCGACTCCCCACTGCCAGTGAGCAGACTCTCGTATTCGGGACTCAAACAGGTGAGCGAATCGCCGTCGGAGGCATCCAAGAGCAGGGAGTCCAGGGCAGTCAGTCCACGCTGTCCCACCAAACTGTCCACCTCCAATCCCGGACTGCTACTGCTGCTGTGGCTGTTCGATGACGACGACAACGAGGCGTAGGCGGAGGAGGCAGGCGATCCTATGGATGAGGTGGCATAGCAGGACTCGCCGGAACTCATGGCTGCCACTGGGGGCACTGTCTTGGCCTGCTGCTTTTGGCTCTGTCTTTTTTGGCCGGCTGCCGAACTTTTCTTGCCACTTCCCTTGGTCTTGGCCGCCTTTTTCACAACCGGAACGGGCAGCTCCAATTCCATTTCCGTTTCCACCTCCACATCGGCTTCCTCGTCCACTCTCGCCTCCCGATTGGCACTCTCCTCCAGGCACTCTTCTATGAACTCACTCTCGTAGCTGGGATCCCGCACGGACTCGCTCAGCATGGTGATGTACTTCATGGCCAGTCTCAGGGTGGTGATCTTGGTCAGCTTCTCGTTGGTATTGGCCGCATCCTCGCCGGTTATCGCCTGGGGCACACAGTGTCTCAAAGTTTCGAAGGCCGTGTTGATCTCTCGCATTCGGGTGCGCTCCCTGGCATTGGCCGTTTTCCGCCGGTACTTGCTCAACGGCGGTGCTTTCGTCTTGGATTTGGTGGTTGTGCTTTTCCTCGACTTACTGGCCGGCTCCACAATCGGATCCAAGTCCAGTTGAATGTCGGGCAGGCTTGCGGACTCCAGTTCCTCGGTGGGACTCCTCCTCTGGCGCTTCTGACGCAGCGAATACTTCTCACCACGCCCACTGGCAGCCTTCCTTTTACGGGAGTCCTTGGGGTCAACCATCCCCGCCATGTCGTTCAGATCGGCGTAGTTGTGCAGCTCGTACGTGTTGGACTTCATCTGAAAGTGGAGTGCAGAGGCAGACTTTAGTCGATGGTCTTCTAGGCGCTTATTTCGAACTTATTTCGAACCCATCCCATCCAATCCCGGGGCAATTAACAATTTTGTACAATTTTTTTTTCGTTGAAAGACATCGGGGAGCATATGGGGGTTGTGCAATCGAGCGAAACGGGTTTTTTTCGGACCCACCCCGCCAAAAACTTCCGTAAACGGCTCTCGAATTGGCTTCAATGAACTGAAGTCGATTCTTGAGTAGTGCTTCCGTCATAAAACCCACTGAAGCCGAAAAACCGAAACGAAACGAAACGCATCAAACCAAAAAAACTCATAAATACAATTTAGAAGCGGGGGCAAGAACAAATTGGTCTGCCAAATGAAATTTCTCATTGCTCATTGCGTTGCGCAATCTTCGAAATTCCTGGTATCTGCTCGATCTATATCTTAGTCACATCTTAAGTCATTTCCATTGCGAATAACTCTATGAGCTGTCACAAATCCTAAAATGGTTCAGACAAGTTGTTAAATTCTGGTTGCTAAAAAAGTCCATATTAGTTGTTTACAATTTGTAATTTGTGAGTAATGTTATAGTAAACAGATTTCGCTTATTCGTTTGGGTATATCTTCAGGCAAACTAGACTTTTTGTAACAATAAAGTGAATTTGTTGTTATGAGTCAAAGCATTATCAATAAATAAATAGTAAGCTTCGGTAAAAGAAATTGCTTTTAAATTACATTTTTATGAACGTAACAATTGTTTTCCATTTGAATTTACACATCCGAAAGTTGTATAAAAATACAAAATAAATTAAATTTCGAGTAAACATTCCCTTAGCTTCGTCCAAATCTTGAATACGAAAGCTAATAAACTTGTTTAAAGACCTCATTAAAATGTACAAACAGATTTTCATGCATTAAGGAAAAAGTAAACTATATACGGAATTGTAATTGGAAAAAATTAAAATTCATAAATATTTTGATATTTCTGTATTTTACATCGTTGTAACTTATTCTTTTGAAGTGGATCTTTGCAATACATAAAAAAATGGGGCTTATGCAGTAACACGATTACAGACTTTTGTATTCAACACTAAAATTCATAATGAAACACTCACTTCTGTATGAATTCTTATCGCAAATCGAGTTTTATAAATAGATTTAAGATTTATGTTTTTCTTGGTTCATTAATACTTAAAAAAAAATAACACAAACTAAAAATAATAATAGATTTTTATAATAGTGACTATCAAATAAATTATTATATTTTTTATTACAACTGACTTGCTGTTCTGCAAGTAACCGAAAACGCAGACTGACAACTTTTAAACTCCCGTCATTGCCAAGGGCATTATCTACTCCATTTCATGTCGAGAAAGTTTTGCCTCGCGCGTGTGGCAAATAAAATGTTTATTATTTTCCTTTTTTTGCGGTAGGTCAGCTATACGAAATGTTTTCCATAGCTTTTCACTCGCCGTTTCTCCGGCATCCAGCTAAATGCGGGCAAATACTTTTTGCGGTGGCTGTCTGTCGGTTGGAAATGCAACAAAACAATGCAGCGAGCGCAACAGTTAATGAATGCATTTTAATGCAAGAATTAAGTTACATGAAAATGTAACACGAAGCCAACGCAGCGGCGTCATTTCCACCTCCCAAACACACAAAAAGATACAGAGAGATACAGCGTAGCAGTGATACAGAGATGGAGATTGAAATGTTTCTGCATCGATGCTAACGCCCTTGCAATTGTGCCTTGGCCTCATAAATCGCCAGTTTGCCAAGTTGGCAGTCTGAATGCAGAGGTGTAAGTGCGAGCAGATTGATTGCAGTCAGTTGATCTAAAGGGGAGCAGCTTAGTCGGGGGCCTCAGCCTCACTTAAATGGTCAATTTAGTGCAGATTGTCCGAAATTGGCCATAGACGATTCTAGCCTGGCTGCCTTGCCCGATCCGGCTTGGCTTGGATTGACTTGGCTCGGCTTGGCTTGGATTGCTGGCTCGTTGGCCCGCTTGACACTTGTTGCATAGCTCTGACCATTCCCAGAGCTCGCTCTTGGCTTGGCCTAAACGAGTTGTGAGGTGCTGTGTTTTCTTAGCCACTTTTCTTCGATTACCGTTAATGTTTGTCTGGCCGAGAAAGACAGAACGAATGGGAGATTTAGCGGGCGGAATTTCTACAGATTTCCTCTGCCCCCTCGTATATTCAAATCTCCTTCCCCTGCCTAAAACTTTCAACACGTGGATAAGTTTTTCACTTCGTGCCGGCATTTTCTGTAGCGTTTCGCCTCTGATTTGAGGTATAATTAATTTTCGCCACGCAATCCTAAGAAATGCTTAAAGACCCTGCAGACGTTTTTAAGTTGCAAAATATGCCCACAAGTGGCATGCCCTTTTATGAACTCTTAAGTTTTTTTTTGGGATTGATCCGTATTTATGTTCCTTTTAAACATTTTTATTTATTAAATGGTTCAGCCTTATCTCAAGGTATTTTGTTTTAATTTAGTAAAATTTAAATATGTTTATTTAATTTGAATTCGGCTATAAGTTGCAATAATTTACAATATTTCAATTGAAATATATGTACATTTTTTTCGATGATTAATTTTAAAAGGACTAACTATGAGCTTATAATTTTTAGAAATATACACCAGAATTGAAAATCTGCACATACTCGGTATTTGAAATTATGCTACGTAAAATATATATATCAAACTTCTGGCATGTACCCACTTGAGCTGTAAGGGCATCGGCAAAGTTTGCGACACGCAACAAACAAGCTGCAATTAAGTGCACAACACAGAAAAATTTGTGCACCGTCTTCAAAGTGGGGCGGCAACCGTTGTTCACCTGCTCGCTCCACCTTTTTCCAAAACGACGTGAAAATTACCTAGTTCCGTGTGCTTAAAGTGGGGCTCTGGTGGGTGGAAAAGCGTGGAAAGTGCAGTGACTGGCCACAATCAACAAATTGCATACGATTAAAAATATTCGCGGCTAATAAACGTTTGTTCAACAAACAGCAACAAGCCGCCACCCGATTTTCGGGGGCGTGGCAGGAGGGATACAGGATATGCTGGAAGGAAGTGCAGCAGGAAATGAGTGGGGGTGTGGGTACGAGTGTTCGAGTGTACGAGTGTAGTTTAGGTCCTGTTTTCGTTCTCGTTGATTGGAAAATTTGTTGCGCCGGGTTTTTCGTGAATAAAGTGAGTGGTGGTACAGAGAGGGGTGCTTCTGCTTAAGTTTTCAATTACACGCCGGCACAATGCAGAAAACGGGCAATTGAAATGCACAGACAACAAACATGGAACAGTTCCTCTGCCCCTTGAACAAAAACCCATACATTTTGTTACCACACACAGAAAAATATCATAAAGTGATTCAATCACCATCAAATGGTCAGAGGGTCATTCGTTATTATTGATTAATGCAACAGTAAACAAAAAAACGGAAATAGAAATGAACTAATTTGTTTATTTATGCCTTTTTGGAGCATAATTGCATAGTATATGGTAATTAAGAAACAACTTTTAATTGAGATTTATTTTTTGCAATTGTTATTTTCAATGATTTAAGAAGACAGCTTATAATATAATTCGTTTTTCTCTTGATAAGTCGCAGTAAGAAAATAAAAAATTGGTAAACATTATCATAAATATTAATTAAAGTAAAACGCGAAATTTGATGTTCTGGTTTTTATAAGGTAAATAGAACTGAATAATAAAATTGAAAACCATTTTAATATGTTAAAATATAAAAGTTTCTCGTAGTGCATCTTTTTCCCCATCTCCCTTTCCCTTTTACCAACAGTGAGTGAGACAAAGGGCGAGCCGTGCGTGCGACGAGGCGTAAAGGGGCCGAGAGGCGGGGCAGAAGCATGTGGGTGGGTGGGGCGTACTGTTTCACAGATATATATTTTTTGGAAAAATCGGATGGAGTGTGACCGGGGCAGGGGGAGGTTAGCCAGGCCTAGCCGGAGTGCACTTGAAACTGCCGGCGAGTGACTACTGCCCCCTCCAGTCTGCCCTTCACTTTTCGGTTCGGTTGCAGTCGCTGCATTTTTAGGTGTAGCCATTAAATTTAGAACTTTTTCTGCACGCTTGTCTGCGCGCCCATGGGTTTGTTGGGGAAATCCGGGCAGGAGGGATGGTTGAATTCAAGGATTCGGGCAGTCGGGTGCGGTTAAATGGAAAATGAAGCGTCTGCTGCTTGGGCACAAAACAAAAAAAAAATATGCCATTGGTAAAACGAGGGTAGATGACTTAGTTTGGATAAATTGAGATTTCTTCGATAAAATTGAGAAATATATTTTAAGAATTAGTTGACAATACTTAATAATTTACTAAATGTGGATGACTTGGTTTGGATAAATTGAGTTTTCTTTGATAAAATAAAGGATATATTTAAGCGATTAGAATTGGTTGACAGTATTTAGTAATTTACTATTTTGATTTTACTATATCAATAAATACATACAAAAAGAATTGCATTGTTGTTTAAATAAATAATTTAATTTAAAAATGTTTAATTGTTTTAACTTTTTGATCTGCCTTCTGTGTTGATTTGCTATAGATTCTTCGAATGATTCAGATGTGTCTCTGTGCCTGGCATGAGTTTAATTCGGCTCTTGTTGTTGTTTTTGCCAAAGCTCTAAAATTAGTTTTTATTGTATGCAACTTGAATTTTCTTTCACTATTTTTGTTTCTTATTTTCGGAGCGCTCTGTCTATTTTTTATCTCTTTCGATATGTGATTCTTAATTTGTTTTTGTGGAACGCGTCAAAACCTTTCATTTGCTTTCGACTTCGTTGCCTTTACTATAGCTATTGTTGTTGCCTTGCTAGATGCCTTTTGTTGTTGCTCTTGTCTCGTGCTGTTGCCAGTTGCACGTTGCACATCCCCCTGCCTTTTGTCTCGTGTGTGCTACCGCTGGCAGCTTTTATTTTTAGCCAGCCTGCGGAAAGTTCTTATTTGTTTTTTTATCTCTTCTTTTTTCTCTTTGGCATCTTTTAATTTTTGCTTTTTATCTTTGTGTGTTTCGTTTCATTTTTCCTTTTTTTATGCTGTTGATTTGTTGCCATTGCTTTGGCCAAATGATTTTGTTTGATTTTCCATTTACGTTGAGTTTGTTTATTAAAATTGGCACACACTGCGTATGTGTGATGGTGCCGTGTTTACATTCTCTGTCTCCCTTTTTCACTGTGTGGGTAAAAATACTATATATATATATATATATATATAAATATACATGTGCCTACGTTTGAGTTATATTTTGATAGCTTTTTGTGTGGTTTTGTATTACCCATCGGCTTTTGATTTACTTGATTTCTTGACAGGTCTCTGGCATTTGCCTTTTGTCTAATTTTATTTTTCTTTATTTTTTCCTGTTATTTTTATTGCTTTTGTTGGCTTTCCATAGAGACGGGCAACTGTTCCCACATTAGACCGAAATTTGGGTCAGGGGGACAGCAAATAATGAGGTAGGCAAGTATATTTAGAGACGCGAAAGGTCCAAGACTCTGAAATCTAAATTTATTTTCCGATTTATACCTTCAAAATCATTAAAATTGTACTTGATTAGTTTCATACAAACGAAATGAAATTTGCTATGATATATTAAATGCATAACATAATTTCAAGAAATCATAGCTGTTTTAAAGGAAAAATTAGTTTAAATAAAAACTATTCTTTTGACTTGAATAATGAATGGGTTACCCAGTTTATATTAAAAACATGAATGTTCTCAGCTCAGCGCAAAAAAAATGTTAAAAAAAGGAAAGTGAGTAATTATTTATGAGAAGCTCATATAGTTAATTCCAATTAGGTTGCTATAATATATTAACAGCTCTTAAAGAATTAGTATTAAAAATATTTAAGTCCCCTTTAAGTGATTAAAACAAATGGCTTTAAAAATGTTAATAAGTAAATAACCGAAGCTGTTGATCAATACATCACCATAAGAGACGGCAAAACTAAACTCAGTGAAAATGAATTCACAGCGTTTGTTTGCACATTAATTAAAATGTTTCCCCCCATTTTAGCCGCAGAACAAACAAAGCTAAGTTGTTGCTCTCCTTCGGTAACCTTTCAAAATCAGTTGACAACTAGCTGTCGTCGCTGTTTTCCCTCCTGAACATCTGAAAAACATTCTCCCTTCCACACATCTGGCTTTTCAACACCTTGGACAAGTAAATGTTTCAGAAGTTTCTCAAAAAGTTGCCCTGCCCCGTTGGCCACCCACTAACGTGATTCGCCTTTTGTCTATTTTTGTTGGGACGGCAACAAGAGATCGAGGAATTCTTCTATATCTCTATATTTATGACTGATTAATAAGGCGGTGGTATATTTACCTTTTTGATTTCATAAATCCAACAGTATATGGGCTAGAGGTTGTTTGAGATGATTTGAATTTAGATGTGCACTCTGATTAAGATTTGTTGATGTTTTTATTTTAATTTTTGGTTCATTAAAGTTGCGCAAAATAATGCAAATTGAAATTCCGACTAATTAGTCACCCAACTAATTTTGATATGCGATCTTTTCTTGTTATTTTGTTTTGCTTGGGCTGTATTTTTTTTTTATCGGAATTAAAGTTATTAGCTCATGCATAAATTTGGCATATTAACACAACAAAAAAGGGGTTTTCAGTTTTATTTCCTCAAAACAGCAGAACTTGTTTTGGGTTTAAGTTATTTCGTTGCGGCGTATTGATAAGAACTTTTGTTTGTTTTCGCGTGTTTCTCTTGGTGTGTGTTGTGTTTGCAGGAAAAGCCTCGAAGAATAGATTTTCCGAAACGTGCAAGCCGCGTGTGTCAGTGCGGCGGGACTAAACTGCGGCGGTATGCGTGAGGCCGGCTGCTAAAAATATCTATGAGTACGCGTCGCTTGGCTGTGCATATATATATCTGTGTATCTGTATCTCGATATCTGTGTATATCCAATATCCCGAGTTGGCGAACCAAAATACACGGAGAAAATGCTGCGCTGCGTCCGCCTGCTGCGCTTGTCCGCTTTGCACTGAACAGATATACGAGTATCTCGTACCGCGGATCGTCAATGTCGACTGTGCGCTTGGAATGGGATGGATGGGTTGGGATGGATTGGCTGTGATGCCAGCGGAATCAGCTGAGCCACTTGGCTTGGACTCCGTTATGGCCCGGCCAGCGGTTTTGTAGCGAGTGGGCGGCGATGGAAGTCGGACTTGTCCGCTGCGATGAGCGTGCGGCGCGCTAGTGGGGCGATCAATGAATGAAATGCCGCATTAAAAGGCAGCAAAGTCTCGTTTTCTGAGCGACCAATAAACCGAGAAACCCACTGGCGCTCGCCAGCCAACGCCAACACAACGTCATTGAAGAGAAACCAGTTCTCTCTTTCCCCAAATATCCATCCGATGTGTGGGTGCTTTTTGCGTTGGCCGGATCGGATCGGATCGTATCGTATCGTATAGTATCGTTTAGAAGAAACAAGTCTTCACAGAGCACTCTCTTGAGTGATTTCCAATTCAGATTTTCGGTTTCGTTTCGAGTGATTTGAGTGCTAGTTGGGCACTCTCCGCTACGAAAAGACCCCCCTGAGATTTCGTATGATCTAATATCGCCAGGCAGTTATTTATTTAAATTTATTGCTAATTTTATTTGCTGCTGAAGCAGCGCATGACATTCGTTTGCACAAGTCAGACATTGTTTGAGCTCACTTGAAAATAGTTAAAAATGTTTATTCGTCTTTGATTGAGATGGTATCAGCTAGCCAGCTTGACTTTTGTCGGATCTCCATTTTTAAGGTTGAACTTTTGATGCCAGACCATAAATAATACTCGATTCTTGATAATTATTTGGATTAACTTTGATTTGGTAGCGAGTTATGATGCATGTCAAAATAAAGTTCAAGGAAATGTGCTCAATTTAATTTGGAACGATGGAATGGCTTATAACTATGTTTAGTTTTAAGTAAATTAAAATTTTCCATTTTAATAGAAAATGAAAAACAAGTTTTGTAAACGCTCTTTTAAATTTGTTGGTAAATTCTTTTGATATTGAAGTTGCATTTACTCCTAAGTTTCGATTTTTCTTAACGCTCCATTTTTGTTATTGAACTTTAAATTTTTGTCCATAAAAAATACTCGGTATTGATATTTGTTTGAATTATGATACCAAAATAAAGTTCATGGAAAGATTACGTTAGTTTGGCACAAAAAGTTGTCATTTTAAATGGTATTCTAAAATTAAAATATTGAAGGGGAACGTACATATTTTAACAACCAAATCTATTATCTTAACTCAAATTTTAAAAAGCTATTTATTTTGTAATAACTAAAAAGGTGGTAAAAACAAATATAAATTATTTGTAAATGAAAAAGTTGCTCACAAACTAAATCTTAAACCAAATTTGTTCACTTTGATTAATATTATTTTGATTCTATGATTTATTCTAATTCGTTTCGATCAATTTCAGTTGATGAATTGGGTGTGTGCACTTCTCGAGTTGTTTTCGCTCAGCTTAAAATTTGAAACAGCATAGCTGATTTCAAAGTCACATTTCATTTGTTGGAACTCGATCTCGTTGTTGTTTTTTAACAAACAATATTGTTTATAGTCATTTTTTGTATAGTTTTTTCCGATCATTTTGTTGCTTCACAAATAATTATAATTAACTGACAACGGGCAAGTAATTGCAAAATGGATTTGCTCCTGCAGGCAAAACAAGTTGTTTTCTTATTATTGTTGCCATGACGACATACTACGGCTACAAATCTCAAGTTTGCTCCCATATACTCATACGTACACTTGTGGATAAATGACTGCGGGCAATAGACCGATCGACTCTGTGACTGACGATTAATTTATCTTTGTGCTTCTGTCTGACGGCGAGTTCGTCATCGTTTGTCGTGTTTTGTTCTTAAGTAAATAAATCATGATGACAACAGTTAAATTTGATTATAATTTTTCGTCCAAAAGCATACATTTTTCACGACACAAGGTCGTCACACGTTTCAAGAGAGTGAAAAAGTAACGCATGCAACATTAATTTGATTTGCGTGCGAAGTGAGCTAAAAATGATATATGTATGAATATATTTGATTAACTAAACATATTAAAAAAAAAAAATACAAAATTGGCCAAAAGTGTTGTGTCTTTTTTTTTTTGCTGACAGCTTAATCTGCTGGACAGGGGCGACTCCCAAGACAAGAACATGAATAAGCGAGCCATAATTAAAAAACAAACGTCACTTTTAAATGTTTGTTTTGTGATCAGCTATGGTTGTGTTTCCAAAATCTCATGGACATGGCTAAAGGGGATTTAAATATCGTATTATAAATTTCGGTAATAATTGTTACAAATATATATAAGCTTTTCCCAGAAATAATTAAAAGAAATAGTTAACTTACTTATTTTTACATCCTCTAAGCTTAAACAAATTTCTTTCAATAACTAGATTTCAAGTTAATACTTGCAACAGCCCTTCCATTAAAATAAAAGTAGAAGCTCTACGAGATGGTTAATATAGATACTATAAAATAATGTATTTAATTTTTCTAAGTATGTTTATTGAAAGTTTTAAACATCTCTAAATTAAAACTTTATTCAAGTGTTTATTTTAATTTCAAATTATAACATTTATTGGCTCTCACATTTTTTTTTATAAAATTGAGTAAATATTAATTTATAAATGGAGATTTTTGTTTGTTTGAAATGTCTTCTTTATTTGTCTTTTTAAATCCATTCCAAATGAGAGAAATCCCCTTGGAGCACCTGCCATGGTGTTCAATTGCTGATGCAAATGTTCTAAGTTTCCACTTTGGCTTTGGCTTTTAATTGCCAGCTTCGGAAATCGTATTTGCCTTAATATGGTCACAAAAGTCCGATCCGGGGACCAAGTCCCCTCGTTGCCGACTTCGATTGCCGGAGATCCCGCTTAGGAAGTCTGTGAGACGTGTCTGCAGCCATTTATGGCCGCCGCTTGGGAAAGCAGTGAGAAAGCTGAAAGCAAAAAACTCTCTCAACTGGCTAATTGTGAGCATCGTGAGGCTTCGGGCCAAAAGCTTCTGAGCCGTGTTTCTGGCGTCTGCAGCCATACAATGCGTTGGTGGCGCTGAGTGGGCGGCGACTGAGACTTGAGTCAACGTTGATTTTGTTTTATATTTTACGTTAATTTATTATTACAAATATCGTTATTGCCGCTTTCAAGCGGAAATACACTCGACTTGGCCCGGCCCACGCTCCTTCATGGTCATAACCACCTGCACAGCTTTTCTTAAGTTTGCTGTATTTCTTTTCGACTTTTGGGAAGTGGAAGCTGTCTATGTTGAGTGGAATTGGACGAGCGGAAATGCCGAACGATTAAGTTGTTGTTCCTCAGCTCGGTGTCGCTTTTTTACAGCCATCTAATTTTTTTTTGTTTAATTAGTTTTTGTTAGCATTTTGATATTTCTTATTTGCATAAGTGAGGGCCGCGTGGGTGCGGGGCATATGAATCAGTTGGTGAATTTATGAATGGTATAGTAAAGCTACTTTGTAAAAGTTTCAGGGGGTTGACAATAGGCAATTAATACACAACAATTTACATACCAAAATTTAATTAATGGATTTAGTGATTTTAGGTTTTTGAATGTTGCTCAAAAGTCTGCCATGCATATAAAATAAATTAGTTAATCAATTAAAAGTTATTTAAATTTACCACGGACATACTCGAAACACGTTGTGGAACTTTTGACTCATTGACAACAGCAATTATTACACTAAACATTAATGTCTTTACGTTTTAATTTATGGAATAAACCTTCTGATATAGAGTAACAACTATGTAATAATGAAATTCAAAATTTTAAAAATAAGATAGAAATAGCAGAAACATTTTGTGAAACTTTTGACGAAAGCAATTGACATATTAAAATGATATGTAATTCTATTTTTTTGCTTTTAATTTAGGCAATGAAGTTTGATGTTGACCCAAAATACATATTGCTGAAATCAGAAATTTTAATAACACAAAAGTTAATAAATAAATAAAGGAATTGAATTTGCATTTACAATTTAAGTATCCAACGCTGGCTGCCTTATTTCTTCTTTATTTAGTTGTGTAAATTTATTTTCATTATTTATTAAACATATTGTATGGGAAAATGGTAAAGCTTGATCCACATCAGTGATATGCAAAATATAACTTTGATTTAAATACCCATTGACTTAAACATGGATCACTTTCGGTGAAATAGTTTACTCTGTTCATATCAATCAACGTTTATTAGCCATGAAAAGCGTTCGCGACTATAGCGACCATCTGAGCATCGAAAACTAATCGTGTGTGAAGAATAATGGATATGTCCGGGCATTGACAACGCTTAACAAATCACAAGGAGGCGAAAAGTGAAACTGCAGAAAAGTCAAAGCCATATGAATCTACTGAACCACAGCCAAATGGCAGCCACAGCCAAGCAGCAAAGATCGTGGCTAATCGTGAGCGATGGTGGCTGTGTTGCTGCTCCGAGGAACGTGATTTTGTATTTTCGCTTGGCCCCCGTCATTCAGGCATTAAAGCCATTTAACATTATGTATCACTCGTCGCTGCCAATTGTAATCTCCCCCCAGAAACAAACGCAACAATAACCACAGCCACACCAAATAACAAACAACAAAAGCTGTGCTGTCGTCATCGTCTGTCTACCATGTCGGCTTGTTGTTGTTTTTATTAATTTTGGTTCAATTAATTACACTACAAATTGTCAACAAAATCGAAACCGCAGACGACGCACAGCGAGCCACACACAGAAACACACACGCAGATATAAGGTCGCGCTGAACAGCTGATCAAATAACCAATGCAAATCTCCACGGACAGTAACATAAACACAAATAGAAATGGCCTAGTACTTTCATACTCTATATATAAATATATATTTTATTCCAGAAACATGAAGAAATTAGTCTTATAATTATCTATTTTAATAATTAATTTAAACAAATCGTTTAAACATTATCTGTTTTAGTTTTTGTTAAATTTTCTTATGATATTTATATTACTATTTATACACATATTTTTTCAGTGTAACATCATCAGCCATTTGGAATGACAGGGCGACATGCATTGGAAATGGGTGTGAAGGGGGTTTTGTCAGGATTGGATTGTCCACTGGTCCGTCTAATGGCTGACTGTTGGCGGCATTAACTCATCATGAATAGCCGGGAGAAAATTGGATGGAGCTGATCACAGGGACGTATAAATATTGATTTTGAGCCCGGTGCTCGAGA